GTACCTAATATTGGGTTAGATTATTATCCAATTAGTTAGGTTGATAAGCAAAATTCCTCTAGTATTTTCAATGGCTAGTAGTTATAAATAATTGGACTTAAGCTTAATTATCCTTAAAAGTTATGTGTGGATGAAGCAAAACAAAAATAATTAAGGTGCATGACTAAATTTTGGTGGTATATTAAACAATTTTGATCCGTCCTGATTATTAAACGGGTCGAAATATTGCAATTTGTTTATAGAATTTTATATTTATGAAATGAAATATTATACTTTTGTTTATGTTACTTTTTAAAGTATCGAAGTTCAATTTATCGGTATGCATATTTATTAGAAAAAATATGAAAGTTTAGCCATCCGACTAAAACAACCTTATACAGCGATAGACTATGTTTGTCCCACTGTCAGGTTGGTGTTGACTACAAGTTGCATCGAGTTGTATCGACTTCGTACGACGACTTGCAATTATACTATTTCCTTGACTCTTTAAAACGAGTTCAGTAGTTGCATATTCTGAGATATTACCATTCTATATTGAAAGCGAAGAAGGGTTATTCATTGGTCTATCACTAAAGAATAATTTATAATTATAATTTTAAATGAATTATGAAATGTTTATAGTACTCTTAAAGTTGTTTCTAATGACCAACAGGGATTGACTCAAGTAGTAAGCAACTTGATGTCGCTTAAGAAAGGTCTCGGGTTTGAATCCCTGTGGATGCAGAAAATCCTTGTTGGGAGATTCACCCACCACTGCTAGATATGCGACTCGGGTTGACCAACGAATTAGTCGGGATATAGCCTTGGATATTATAGCTGGCTACCAAAAAAAAGTCGTTTCTAATGTTTAAGTTGAGTTACGAGCAAGATCAACTCAAGAAACTTCAAAATTTTAAAGAACTACTTGAAAGAAACTTTTGCAATACCTTCTCAATTTTGTTTAAACTTTTTCTCATTGTGATTCTAGTAAATATTATCATGTTTGGACTCATAAAATTTTGTCGTGTACAGAAAAATTTAGATGATTTTGGGGATTCTATTTTGAAATTTAATATTCCATTTCTGATTATTTGGTTCACCAATATTTTTTTCTCTTTCCAAATAGACAAATCAAAGTGCAAAGTGATGTGGACAAAACTCAAAAGACATCCCAATTAATATATTGGAACCCAATTACATCAGTGCATAAAGATTGAGTAATTAAATATTTAAACTAGTGCGTTATCCGTACGATGTACGAGTTAGTATTAAGGCAAGTATTTACATTTGGATGACTGGATTGGAAGAACATAAAACACATGATTGGAATAAAACAAAAGGTAAGTTATATATTATTAAGCACATCCTTGTACACAAGTTTGTTCGTACATCGTCTTTCGCCACAAATTATATTAGGATTCTAGATAGGCTTAAATAAATTAATTAAATTATTTAGCAAGATATATATGATATTTTGTAAGTGTATGCAATCATTATTTATTTTGTAAGTGTATGCAATCAATTTCAAATTTGTATTCTAGAGGATTAAACAAAACCCAAATTTTTAGGATGTTTCAATCCAATTTCATTTTGAATTTAAAATTAATATTATTTGACTTTGTTTTATGTTTAAAAAAAATCCGAACTAAAGAAAGTAGTAGCCAAATGACAAGGGATTTTTAAATTTAAATTTTCAATTTGAATTGGGCCCGATTTCTATGCAATCCGAGTTTTTTTTTTTTAAATAAACATGATCTGTTGCAACTAGGTAAAAATACATGTTATAGTATTTTGCCTAATTCGAAATTCCTGATTTTATGGTAAACATATTTTTTTTCAATAAAAATTGAGAGAATTTCCAATTTACAAAATTGCCATGCTGAATTTTACCTAAATTAACCCGATTACTATGCAATCCGATTTTTTTTATTAAACAATTGATCTGTTGCATATAGTAAAAGATATATGTGATAGTAGTTTGCTTAATTTAAAATTCACGATTTTATGATAATCAGTTTTTTTTTTTAAATAAAAAATGAGAAATAATTTTGACTTTTGTAAAATTGTAAGCATCAGTCGAAATTACCTAAATTAAATCAACAAAACCCATGAATTTTGACTTTATATATATATATATATAGCTGATCGATTTTTTGGGAACAATTTTTTAAAAAAAAATTAAAACTGCCAAAAATAGAATGCAATAAATGCTGGTTGACTTTTCTTGTTACTATTTTTGGTAAATAGGTTGACTCTTTATATAGATATAGATTTATTTATTTATTGTCTTATTTTTTCATTCTTCCATTCTTTTTTTTCCCTGTTTTTTCCATTGCATTTGTTCATGTTAGAAAATTAAGAGAATAAATTGTGATTGTAACTTGTGCATTAATTTTTCGGCTAATTCTTCAAAACTCCCCAATGCACAATTCAACTTCCTTGTCAGTCCCCACCACATTTACACTTCCTCTGAACTCCCTAAATCTAATTTCTCTTTCCAAATCACTCCCCATATATATACTACTCTTATTATTATTCATTTATTTTTCTCTAAAATCATAAAAAGCTCTCGTCTCTCTCTTGACATCTTCCTTAGCTCTCTCTCTCTCTCTTCCCGTCTCTCTCTCGCCGTCTTTGTCTCTGAAAAATCCATCGCTCTCGCCTCCCTTTCTATCTTTTTTTTTTCGTAGGACGTTCGTCTCCAATTGAAAATTTCATCGCCATCGCATATCATCTCTCTTTCTCTCCGGGAAACCCTCCGTCTCCGACCAAAAATCCACGAACACAATGACGGGGTCGAAAAAGAAATCCATATCGGATAAACCATCTTCCTCTTCTAAAGTCGTAAGCAAGGTGAGATTCTTTTATAAAATATTTGATTCTATTGAACTCGAAAATTTGGGATTTTTTTTACAAAATTTTGATTTTTCTCTTGAATTCGATGTTTTTCAAAATTTGGGATTTTTGTTGATGGGATTTTATTGCTAAATTAGGGACCGCTGAAGGTTCCAAGTTCATCGAGGCCTGGAAGAAAGTGATGCCGAATATGGATCCACCGAAAACCCCCTCGACCTACATGGCTCCTCGCCCGCCGACCCCATCCACAATCCCTTCAAAGCTGACCGTCAATTTCGTTCTTTCGTACAATTCCGTGTTGTCCGGCAAAGAGGTTCGCTCTGACATACTCGCAACCCTTGAGATCTCTTTTCTTTTTTCTGTTTTTCTTTTCTTTTTTTTTTTATTTTCATTGTATAATTTACATTTTGTATTTCTGTTGCTGTGTCTTGTTTGAATGTATAAAACTTGATATTGCTCTTGTTCAGAGTTCTTTTAAGAAGCAAATTTGGTCTCTTGTTTCTGAACTTTTTATATTTGCCAAATTTTTGGTGTGGTATATATTATCTTGTAGTGGACGAAGTTCTATTCATCTTTTAGTGGCCAGAAAAAGCCTAGTGTTTAGATGAATTTTAAGGAGAACTTGAGTCATGCAATCACAATTTGTCGTTGATTTTCTCTCTGAACCAAAATACTACAATTCCAGAAGTTGTAAGCTGCTAAAGTTTGTATAAGTGCATCTAAGATATATTGGTATTGATCAACTCTTGGTTAATTTTCCATAATTTATCTTAAAAGTTGTATTAACTAACCAGTGTCATGGTTAACTACTCAGAATTGTTCTCTAGTCCTGTGTTATTCTTGGCTGGCATTGCACAACAACTTTTAGAACTTGGAAGCACCATAAGCTCATTAATGGTTGATTTTTTATATCAATCAGAACCTTAAGGAACATTCTATTAGGACCTATCAAGCTGCTGTAAATTATTCAGATACTTGAAATTTCATCTTTTAAATTTCAATTGTGGCTCTGGTGCTGCCTAGTTTTTTTTTTGAAGGATGCAGCTCATTTTTATTTTTCCTCTAAAATTTGATAAAAGCGTTGCATTTTTCATAGTTCCAATAACTTCTGCTTATGCTTGATATGAAGTTACTGATGTGTCTTTTCAGGTTGATATGGTCATTATCCCTGCAACTACTGGACAGATGGGTGTCTATTAGCTTGTTGTATTTAAGCTACACAAGCTAATAAATATGAAGAGGATTTATGTTGTGATCTCATACTATCATATTGTTTTGTTGTGTTTAAGCTACAGACTTTCTCGTCTTGTAGGCCTCACTCTGAATTCAAGTGAGTAGTTGTTTCGATCGGTTAGTTAGCAAGGATATATGCGTTTTGTTGTATTTAAGCTACAGACTTTCTCGTTTTGTTGTATTTAAGCAAGGATATATGCGTTGCAAATTCGATGAGTATATTGATCCTAAGAACTTTGGGTATCGTTGTGTGAGAAGGCAAAAGGGTGAGAAGGATTGTGGAGTCCACGTATGCTTACAAATGGAGTGTTTTGCCATTGATACTCCTCAAAAATGGTCGGACCAACTCACCTGCTCTATGGATGTATTTCGAGCACACATCACTGCTCGTATTTTGCGACATGATAATGTAGTTCTTGGTTTTCTTTGACTGGATGTATCGACATATTTTTTGTGGTTTTGAATTTGTTGACAATGGGGTTGATGATGGGTGTGACAATGGGGTTTGATGGGATTTTGAATGTTTAGTTAGTATTTTGATGTTCATTTTAACTTGGTGGATGATTGTGGTTGACGATGTTTATTTGTTTATTGCTAATTTGAATGAAATTTTAATCTTATCCGTTCTTTGATGTTTATACCAAGTTTTAGGTTGTGTAGTACCAACGTATGTGAAAGGATGTATCTGTTTCTGTGTTAAGTTGTACCAACTTTTTCAAAGAAAAATAACAATGAAAATAATATAAGAAAGTATTCTTTTTTGCAAACTGATACCAGTTTTAGGTTGTTTAGTACCAAAGTATGTGAAAGGATGTACCTGTTTCTGTGTTAAGTTGTACCAAGTTTTGTCAAAGAAAAATAACAATGAAAATAATATAAGTATTTTTTTGTAAACTGATACCAGTTTTAGGTTGTTTAGTACCAACGTATGTGAAAGGATGTACCTGTTTCTGTGTTAAGTTGTACCAAGTTTTGTCAAAGAAAAATAACAATGGGAATAATATAAGAGTATTTTTTTTGTAAACTGATACCCGTTTTAGGTTGTTTAGTACCAACGTATGTGAAAGGATGTACCTATTTCTGTGTTAAGTTTTACCACATTTTGTCAAAGAAAAATAACAATGGGAATAATATAAAAAAGTATTTTTTTTGTAAACAGATACCAATTTTAAGTTGTTTAGTACCAACAGATGTGAAAGATTGTACCTGTTTCTGTGTTAAGTTATACCAACATCATTTAACATAAAATAATGGTAAATTTCGATTTTAAATGATGTTTATAATACTCAAATCACTCACGCATTGGTTTATACGAGTTTTCTAATGTGTGTAATTTAGTTTCTTTGCCAATTGGTCATTAACTCAAGGTATTAATGAAAAAACATTAATACTAACTATTGGTCATATCATTGAATGATAAACTTCATTTCATTGAATGATCATACATA